GGGAAAATAGGTGCAATATTAAACAAATATTATCAAAGAAAATGTTTAATGCATATGTAATTATTTTACCATAATATAACATACATATATATATATTTATTTACTAGCTGCCCCGTGCCCGTGCCAATTTTAATTTTTTTTTTACCCATATTCATTTTTGGTTTTGACTGTGTCATAATTGAATGGAAACATTTTGATGAAAGGTGGATAGTGGATAGTAGATGGAAGCTGAAACCTTCAGTGAACTAAAATTGATCTAGTGTGAAATTTGAATAGTGTAAATAATAGTAATAATTATAATTATAATATTTTTTTTTATCCGTGACAACCAAATTATCATCGTGTAAAGTTTTCGATTTTGTCACCGATTGATAAACCAACTTTCAATTTATAAATCGTGAATCAAAATAATGATTTGATTATAAGTATAATAGCTGGAAACGGTTGGAAAATAATATAGTTTTTAAACTTTAATATACAGCAGACAATTATTATTGTAATTATTTTCAATTATTATCTTCGAACATATTGGGTTATAATCAAACATTTTAAAACAATACAATTGCAAAACTGTCAATCACCGAAACTGTGGGGCAATTAATTTGTACATCTAGACGATAATGAAAACATCCAAAAAAACAACCTGATTCGTAACAGCCATGATGGACAGAGACAGATGAACGAACATAGTTCTAGTTCGCCGAACATCAAAGCGGTCGTTAACAAGGCAAGATAATACTTGACGGTGAAAAAAAAAGTCCAAAGTAGGTGACAGGCATTTTTAAATGCCTTTTCTCTCGGGAGATCGTTGTTGTCATACTGACCGTAGTGATAACCAACATAACCATCACTAACCATCATCGGCAATTACGCCTACCTCAGTGCCTGTCACGATAGATCCATAAACACCACTACCACTCGTTTAAAACTAACAAGATATGACTCATAGACGGCACAAACGCGCAACCATCGTCCGCGTCCGGACAAATCATAGACCGAAGAGTCGCTCAGGCCTCAGGTCTGCCACCAGATAAGGCGCCAGTGTACACAAAGACCCTGGCAGTCTGCGCACAATGTAAAGCTAGTGCCCGTTAGTCTATCGCTCATGTTATGCGTTTTATGCACATCAATACCTACAAAAAGCGCGATATTTTGTTATACGAATTACCACACCAATTGTTTTAGTAAATATTTTGCATATTTTCGAGGTCCACACTAAAATAAATAAATAAATACATATTGTCCGATACAAATTTTTACGAAAACTCTTTTACATAGATTAGTTAGCAAAATTGTTACTCTTAATATTAAAACACTTGGAAAAATGTACTACTTGTCATCGCAGTGAACATTTGTCACATTTTTAAATTTTAAAAACAGTGAGGAAGCAATTATAATTTTACAAATGTATAACGACGGGTTATTTTTGTTTAAAAACAAAATTTAACATATTTAATGCTAAATAAACATCAAATTTCTCGTGGATATATCGATATAGGTAGAAAATTGTAATAAGTATCTACAATTAGTGAATATTTTATTTTTATACCATGTGAGATAGTTGCCGGGGAAATTTCAAACAACTGAAAATATGCCGAATCATAATATTTTATAATATATAATATTCATAAACGTTAATTTTAAATTTCCAGTAACACGCTGACACATTAAATCGTTATTAGATTCGAATGTTCTAATAACTTTAACATGACGTGCCCATGTGTAAATGTCTCCGTCTTACAAACGTACAACACACCACATTCGCGTTCATCGGGGATAACTTTGTGCAGTTAGTTTTAGTATTACAGGAAAATTGCCCATTAACAAACATCAAACTTGAGGTTAATTAAATTATCTGTGCAACTTCGTTGGTTTGCTTCGACATTTTAATTTTTAAACGAGATTTATGAAATGTCTCAATTTAAAAAGGCCTAAAATATCTCGATTGAAAATTAAAATATCGAGAAACGAATTGACGTAGTTGCATACATAATTTTTTTATCATTAAGCTAGATAACTAGTCAATTCACTATAATATTAAAACTAACAGCACAGAGTTGTCCCCACATGCGAGAAAAACTGTTAACAGTTTGAATTGATTATCTTTGTGAATAACAATATTTTAAATTTGAATAATTAAATAAATTTGAAAAAAAGAATATGCCATAATACACATAACTACTTTTATACGTTTTAATCGTGTACAAGCTTTGTTTTTAATGTTGCAGTTACGTTAACATGCGTTTCTTTTACGTTTTCTTTTGGTAGTGTTTTTTACATTTTAAAAAAAATCGAAGGAAGATGAATCCCCCTCGTGCCCAAATATAACTTTGATAACCATTGCTATATTTGATAAAATAGTAAACATTATTGATGTATATTCGTAATCATAACATATTTTTATCACTATTAAAATTAAAATTTTTAATTAAAAAATTATACTCTTCAACGAAATCTAATTTACTTTAGTCGATAGCACACATTAAATATTAATTATGCATAGTTCGAAACACTTTTACCATCGTGCATTTATCGTAAGTGGTTTTTTTTATTATTAAAACAATTGTAAATAGAGAATATCACTGAGAATTAATCATTCAACGTAATAATACTAAGCTAAGATATCTTTGCGAAAAAAATAGTTACTATAAACTCCAAAAATAACTATAAACATAATATTTTTTAAATGTGTTTATTTTCCCGTTTAAAGAATAGGTATAAAGTAAGGTGCACGGAAGACGAGTGAACCGGAAAAAAAATATGGAGATGTTGTATAACGTTACTGCGATTAAAACAATTTAACGATACATATACATATATTTAGTTTTAAAACTAGTATAATATGATTATATAGTGTAAAATTAAATTACACCAAAATTATGTAGTTTTGAAAACAAGTAATAATATAAAAATATACCGACAATAAAAATTTAGAAACTATAATTATTGCCTGATCAGAAAAAAATAACGTATACACGTAGAAGTATAATTACCAAACATTAAAAAATTTTTGTTTAATTAAGTTGTTGCAAAACCTAATAATTATCATATATTTTATATAAAAAAAAAAATCGAACTGTTTTTATCTTAATATTATATTATTTTCAATAAAAACCACCAAATTCACTACGATAACATTATTATGAAAAATAAAATACAAACGAGAATAAAAGAAAAACTCGATTTGTCATCGTTGAACTAAATTCGTCAACTTTATTAATATGGCTTGAAAAAATAAAACAAATAACTCTTGTCCGTGTGTAAATAAAATCAAGAAACTTATTAACTTTGACCTTTTTTGTCTTTATGTAATTTTTTTTTTACATTTTCATTATATTTATGTGTACTTTCTTCAAGTATAAATAACTGTGATTTTTCTCTAAAAAAAAAAAACGGGAAATTATGTTATAAAAAGAAAAAATACATTTTTTGTTGATTATTGTTGTATGCGTTCTTATTATATATATATATCTAGTGGTTGAAAAAACGGCACATAACCCAATATAAATTTTAATTTACCTAGTGCTTATCTTTTTTCTTTTTTTTTACACACTAAATCTTGAAGACACACGTAGATAAGTATAAATAATAATGTTCAAATAAGTACTGAAAAACAAATAAAAAAAAAAAAAAAACGAACATACATCGTACAATGGCTGGGCCACTGTTATAGGTGAAAATTTGATAAGGTAGGATATAGAGATGAATTTAATTTATATCTGTAATATAAACCACTGCCAACGAAAAATGATTTGAAAAGAAGTTTCTTTTATAAATGAACGTAAATTTTCCCATTTTTTTTACGGTTATCCCTATTATTATGAAAAAAGCTTGTAAAATCAAAAAATGACTTTCTTAAAGTAACGACCAGATAAAATTTCCTTTCAGAAATATTACTGCATTTGAAAATCGGAGCAAGATTTTTTCTAGAGAAGTTGTTCACAAATAAAAAAAAAAATAAAAATCATTGTAAAACCGATACATTTCTCGATACGCTTCGAATCTAAAATCATCTTTATAATTCAGAAAATATAATATAACGTCAGTCATAAAGGTTTTATAGTTAAATTTAGTTTTTAAACTACCCTGATCCAAAAACCAAATTATGATCAGAAAGCGTGAAAATAGTTTTAACAGCATCTGAAGTGTAAAAGATGTATGTATGAAATATACACCTATGTTATGTATAAAAGAGCTGTTCCATGTTCCTCCTATATTCTATGCAAATTTGTTTTTTTTAAATACACTTTGACCGGATTGGTGAGAATATCCAACATAATAATATATTGTTCATAACAATTTTATTTTTTTTAATTCATGATTTTATTATTATCGATAACACAGATAATAATAGTGATTAAACATATTATAGATTAATGAGAAATATTGTCAATTTACAAAGTACAGTCACAGAAAAAGTCGAATGATTTTTTTCATCTAGGTGATTGTAGTATGCAAGGAAATTTTTAGATATTCGATGAAAATAAAGATAACGATATCTCTTGTTTAAAAATTAAAGTCTCTAAACCAAGCATGATGCATATACATGACCTATAATAACCAAGAAGTCGTTTGTTAAAACTAGTGTTATAGCGCTGCACTATACGAAAGTGAGTTTCGGTCATCAGTACGTCACTATAGACCCAAAGACAATAGAAAAGTTGGAACTATAGACATGATGAAAAGTGATAAAATGGATGGAATGAAAAATCCATGTACACGTGTTAAACATGATAAAAGATCCAAGACAAATCATGAACATGATGGTAACAAGAAGAAATAAAGTATATTTGACACATTATGCGGACAAATGATATAGTATTTTAGCCGATATGTAGTTTTGGTTTGGTTTGAAATTATTGTTTGTCGGTAGGTACATAACCTGACAGAATAACACTGTGTCTCTAGAGTACTCTTGTAGTGAGAGACCGGCTTTCTCTGCACCACAAAGAAGACCGCGGTCATATTATTATTGTACGCGTCGCGTACATAAACGTGACCTGTCAATCCTTCTACTGTAGGTAGGTATACCGTATATTATCTACAAATACAGAATGTTATAGAAACTCGATTGGCCGTTCGGATTTCAGCTTCTCGGGATTTTCAAGCCTATAATAAAGTCTTAATATTTCCCGCGAACGTCGTATACCTGGATGACCGACGACGTGACGTTCAAAACATTACGGTATACGTACGTTTTATATTTTATTGCTTTTCATCTGGAAATTGGTATACGGTCGAACGCAATATTATTGTAACGCATTATATAAACTTGAAAAACCTATCGGCCAACCGGTCATATTATTATTATCTCTGTTCTCACACTGCGTACGTGACCTAAAAATTGTTTATTAATGTATTCAAGTTATAGAAAACTGAACCGTCATAATAACTTCTCAAACGCGTCTTGTTTGCTATAATAGCACACCGCGATATAGGTATGTATATAATATCAACTAAATGTTTAACAATGTTTTTCTCGGTGAAAATAAATTGAAATGTATTAGATTCAATGTAAGTTAAATATAGTTGTTATAATTGTAATTATTTGAAATGAATAATATTATTTTTACTTCCGAAATAAAATCATTCGATTTTCTTACTATAGTCGGGCATAATAGCAGTCGCCTGAAATATAATGATTCATTGTTTCAGGGTCATTATTGAGACTTAAGGAGAAAATACCATAAACCAATAATAATAATAATAATAATAAACTAAGGTTTATGATCACCGATCGCTGTTATATGAATCATAGTATACCAGTAAAATCAAACAAAATGCCATTAACTAAGTTCCTTTGCACTACAATGTTTTACTAAATACCATTCAAAACTATTTTTAAATTTTTACTGCACAACATATGATGGATATAAACGTTTATTCAATTTGAATTCATTTTAAAATGTGTCACTTAAAAAAAAAAAAAAACAAAAAATAATACAAATGTTATTGTCCCTATAAATTCGAGTTAAGGTTTTTCACGGGGTGTTAGATTCGTGAAACGTTCCAGTGAATTCAGATTGTGACAGAACTCATATAATAGTATACCCTAATCTTAACACATACTCAACTGTGTATATACTTGAATCCATGCAGACATTGATATATTTATGTAAATTGAAAAACTGAGAAAAACTCGGTGGAATCAAGATTACACAGACATAATACCTTCCAACGAAATTAAACGTAAAAAGACGCGAAGAAAATCTGAAAATTGGCTGCTAAAATGTTTATCACAAACGTTACAGGAATTTCATAATGCTTATATGATGTCCCCCAATTCAATAAATGTGACCAATAAAATATTAGTCACGAGACCCCGTATGCCAATTCAATATTTTTAAATTTATATTTTTTTTTCTCTTTAACATTCATATCACGTATTTTATAATCTTTTATAAGAAATACATTTACAAATTTATATTTCGCGCACAAATCATAAAATATAAATTAGTAAGAAATGCGAGGAGTTTTTAAGAGTTAGATTTTTTTTACCCTCTAAAAGCGTTATTGAATCAGATTCTAAAGGTTAAATCAAATTTAAATAATATTCGAGATGGTTATCTTGAATTCAACCAATTATAAAAAAAAAAAAAAAAAAACAAGTAAAGACTATATGAAAATAGTTATAACTCAAAAGATCAAAAAGTTATATGGATTTGAAATGCGTGTAACTTCAAATATAATATGAATATAAATAATATAGTTGTGTACGATATCAAATTACATTTATTTTCATCTTTCATAAATTAAAAAATATGATTGGCAAATAATATATTTCACGTTTGAATTAATAAATTAATTGATTATATCTATTTAGATACTTTTAAAATAATAATAATTATTTTGGAATTGCAGAGGCTCGTAGGAATGTTTGTAATTAACAGACGTAATAGAAAACTACAGTATAAACCTTGAGGATTTAAAATCTGTCACTGCAGTTGGTATAAGCTTCTGAAAACCACACGCAATAATGCTGTTGGTTGAATGACGGTTTGCTATTCAACTGTTTAATGAAACTTACTAGCTCAAATAGGATTTTGAAATTATTTTATTAGACATATAGCTCGAAAACGAGAGTGATGGATGGGAATTCCGCTGGTTTTGTATAAAAGACCGCGGAAAGTCATATTCTCGACGAAGGGATTGTTTCCTAACCTATTTGAATGTAAATGTAATTTTGAGAGTGATGTGCTTCGCATATCACACATTTATCGCGCGAAACTATTCCATTATACTATAAACCGTTTAAAAGCGTATTTCTTACACCCGAATATTATATATATACGAGACTTTTGTTGTGGTTTCGTGATGATGAACATTCACAAAGAATACAATAATAATATATTGTTATATTTTTATATTGTATATATATTGTTTTAATTTTTTAATATATTTATAAAGATGTAGGAAAAATTGTTATTGAAATAGATGAAAAGAGCTTATAATATAATATTATATTATATATTATATTATAGCTTATAATATTTAAATATAAATTAAAATGATTTCTATAAACACTGGGCGATTCATTAAACGTGCTTAGACCTTATTTTTTTTTTTTGTTACATTTTGCGTATATAATTCTAACTTTTGGAATTTTTAAGTGTAGTTAAAGCCGATATATTCGAATACTTAGATTTTTCACAACATTTAAGGATTATCCTGTGACGACACCAACTTTGGTTTTTTATAATAAGAACGTATATTAAAAATATTTCATAAAATAATTCCATAAAAAGATAAAGTTTAAATATATTTTGGTGTCAACATTTCGGATTTCCGTAAACCAGTTAATGAGATATTCCACTTTTAAGTATTGGTAGACGAAGAGTAGTGGAGCACTAATAAAACGTTGTGCACCGTGTCACTGCACAAATGATACTTTAAATTAAAAAAAAACATTGTAGTAAAACCAGAGGCTCCATCGCTACGATCGGAATATAAAATAAACATCATTGTAAAACCAATATATTTTTCACTACACTCAGAGTCTAAAATGAAGTTTTTCGTAAATAGGTTATTTTATTTTTTTTCTAATAATATTTGTAGATTATCCACATTCAAGTTACTCTTAGATGTACGAACTTCTAATATTTTAAACGGATTACGATAACAAAAAAAAATATTTTTCTGGATAATATAAAATTCAAAATTAACTTAATTGAAAATAATAAAGAGAAATTGAAGTTGATTTCAAGTTAACGTAAAGGCAAATAAATTAATTAAAATAAGAAAACTACAGTAAGTTAAGTAATAAGTTAAAATTAATTTAACCAGAAATACAGTAAATATTATCCAATAAAAAAACGATTCGAGATTTTTTTTTTAGTATTTTTTTAGCAATTGAATGTAAACCAAAAAAAAGAAGAAAGAACAGGAAAGTTTACAAAAAAATAAAAATGGTATTATTATTTTGTTGTAATTCAGTCAAAAATATTCATAGAAACTTTCAGGGCTTATTCTATGGATTTGTATCTACTCCTCAAAATACACAGACGATTTTTAATTTTATGAAATTCACGTGGACTTTAATAATTATCCCCCCCCCCAAAAAAAAAATCAAACCGTATGAAGAAAATGAAATTGAAAAAAAAAATACAGCAAAGAAATAATGAATGAACTCCAGAAAAATGTGACGCATGAATCGCGTGGTGTGTAACCAGCTTTATGTACAAGGTAGATTTATAAATTACACAATACCTAGTATAGGAATTCATTCACTTGACAATATGGAAAATTATATTTTTTAAAAAGTACTCAAATTCACAAAGTCAACTGTACTTTTAATATTTCCTACTGACCAATTTGAGACCTAATGCCCGTTATAATAAGGCCTGGAGACTTGACCTTGGCAGAAAACTTATGTGTGCCTATCCAAAACATAACATTTTCAAAATATTTGAGCTATTTTTGCCATTTTAACTATTAACATTTACATTTTGTGAGTTTTTATTATTTTTATTTAGTAGATAGGTATTCTGTAAAGAAAATTATTTGAACAAACAGAACAATTTAATAATTCTACATAAGATTTATGAAAATTGAACTTAGTGTTCAAAAATAAAAAGTTGAACGTCTTGTAGTATTTTATTTTATTTTTTTATAACGGTTTTAAAGTCAAATTTTGATGAAAATTGTAAATATGACGGCCTCTTAAAACACGTGTTACCAAACTTCACTCCGAATTGATTTTTGTTTCCAATGGTTTATCGTTACTTACAGATATAAAATTATATAATAAATTATCACAATTTATCCTATCTTCTCAACTATCCATCTACAACTGTTGAACAATGAAAGAAAGAAAAAGAAGAAATAAACAGCATTGGAAAACCAATAGCTCCCTCACTACGCTCGGAACCTAAAATGGGATGGTCACCCTTTAGTGAATTATCTTGTATATATGTGCTTGCACTAACATTTATTTTGCGAAAATTTTCTACTTTGATATAATACTATATAGTTTGATAAAGCGTCTTAAACATAATAATCTGAGCTGTTCCAGATCAATATAACTAATATTATGGTTTATTAATTATTATGAGTATTAATATAATGTAGTATTTAATCTCCGTCCTCCAAAAGACAGGTGGACTTGGACACTTTTGAGGGAGACTAATTCCCATAAGAGCCCCCCTTTATCTTATGCGCGTGATGAATACATTATTATACATCTGTACATTCTACAATTCTACATTCTACGTACGTATAGTATAAACTATGGCTACATAATAATTTAAAACAGAAAAATTATAATTAATGTAGTCCAAAACTTCTATAAATTTACTTACTAAATACATTTCTGTAACTCTGTTATTTAATTTAATTACATAAATCAATAATCACAAATAAACTTGTTAGTTAATAATCATTTAAATCAAAACTGAAGCATTATACATTTTGAACATTATATTTTTCAAGATGTAAACATGTTGTGTACATTATTAACTGAATGTATTATTATATACAGTGTACTTAAACACTATATAATATTAAAACAGAAAATATTACTTGGAATTTTATTAAAGTAGAAGTAGATATAAAATTATAAAAATTTGCATTCAACTAAAATTTAACTTAAGTAAAATATACAAAATTAACTTTAATTTAACACGTTATAAGTGCTCAAAAAAAGAAATTATAAGTTAAAGGAAACTTAAGAAAAAAATTGACTCATTAATTAACTTAATTAATATAATGTTAATTATTTAAATTAATTTTATCTTTAAATATGTTAATTCAATCTTGAAAAATATTATTATAACATTTATAACTATGGCTGAGATTTTAATGTACTCTGCATTGTTTTCTAAAGTTTACTGTGTGTTGATCGTTTTATTATAAATTGATGTCATGTATTTTTGAATGAGAATTTTATGTTCATCTTTATTTGGTATTTAAACTTTTATAGTTTTTTAATTTTTAAGTCATTGTCTTTATTTTTGATTTTTGTACAGTTCTTAAATTAAAGTAAAGTATTTGTTCATGCCTTAACTTAAACTATGTAATAATATTATGAAAAATATTTGAAACTGTTCAAATCTGTATTGATTTCTATGTTCCAATATAATTAGTAAAATAAACAAATTACTATTTGTATGGGTTGAACAATTAAGCATCAATTTGGCCTAAAATCATACCTCTTATCTCTTATGGGATTTTAACGCGTATAATTTGGTTATCTATCGTTTAATGACATTATTGTAACAAATAAATTGTGTTTCATAAGAAAATATTAGACCTTAAATATGATTATTATTAGACCGTTAGTGTTATCAATATGTATAACGTGGAATTACGTGAAAATGTAGATCATACAAAACTCACATAAACGATTTAGGTGTGAAACGAAATGCAATATTATTATGTCGATACTATTATTCGTCGAAGAGTTGCTGAACGTTAGCACGCGCGAGCACGGCGTTCATTCCGAATTGGAGAAAGATGATATTTGCGAGGAATTAAGCAGATTATTTGATAACAATATTACTATGGATAGCCGCGTACTTAAACGTATAAAGACGAAACTTTGGACGTAGGATCACGCGCGGTAGTAACAATAAAATGTACTTTAATCGAGCAATATACTATTACAACAATTGTACAATAATCGTAGGCAATAAACAACGATAGAAATTTTATTATTCTGTTTCGCTAATAATAATTATGAAAAAGGTTTTTTTTTTTTTTTTAACGCCTAACGATAATATTTTGTATAATAAACGATCTGATGCTGCTTATTATAAACAACGCTTTCAATTAAATATGTATTTGAACGATGCAATGTATAATATTATAAAGGATTAATTCGATATTAAATATGGCTGGTGCAAAAAACAAGACATCTCTACTATGCTTCAAACTTGAACGCAGTGTAAAATGAAAAGTCTTCAAACAATAAATCAAAATTATATTATTATTTAACGCCAAAAGTAAAACGTTAAAATAATCGTTTAAACTTTTAAAATTGAATTTGTCACTATATTGTTTCGTGATGAACGACCATGTTATAGCAGCTAGCTATAAAAGTATACAAAAGTATATATATATACTTATATAAATTTTCAGACATATTAATAGTGATGAACTCTTTAATAATTACTTACCTACGTCACTAACTCAAACTGACTAGATAAAACTAAGGAAAAGTAAACCTTCATACGTGTACACACTGACACGATTTAACGTATTTTTTTTTAATTCAACTATCCTATTTTCTTCGTGAATCGTGTTTTTCTCTCTTTCTCTCTTACTATATATACACACGCGAAGATCTATGTCCCTAGAGTATTATAGATACACAATATATATATGATACATAAAAAAAGAAGCAAAACTATCTTTGGCTATTTTTTCCAGTGCACATATAAAGTGTGAGTTTACGACCAAAATGGCTTATCGGAAATGGCCGATAGAAAATAGTCAATCTTGTGTAGACAATACGGGCGAACGTATATATAGGCTCTATTTAATCGCACGCTATTTGTTTGCCGTTATTTCGATTTATCGACGTCGATGTAAAAACGAAACCAATATAAAACGTATAATATATTTCGACCCGAGAGATTTTTGTAAAATGTGTACCCACTAGTTTTACACGTAACACATAATAACTATACGGACACGTACTTGATATGTAATTGTTGTAAATATATTTACTTCATATTGTATAGCATAATCGTATACAAACCATTGACACGTTTTTGTTAGGTATCTGCTTACATAAATAACTATTTATCTAAAACGGCAATTTATCGAAATGTAGTAAATATTTAATAGATTCTAATAATACTAACTAATCTATCTATTTTGATAAAAATATCATAAAAGAAAAATCAGAAATTTGTTTTTTTTTAAAAAACCACACAATTTCGAACACACTTCGGTTTATGAATGACTATATAAAAAAAAAACGAGTTAAAAAATGTGCATAAGATATTAGTTTACATATGTATAGATAAAAAAAAAAAAGTGGTTAGACTAAAATCGGTGTTTTACTTTCGTTTCACATAGAAATACTTTTTCTGTGTATATGGAACCCGAAAAAAAAACTTGTTTTTACGGCAAATATTTGAATTAATTATACTCTTTTTAAAATAAACTCTTTTTTTTTTTTTTATGAAAATAATATTAAACTTCTTTTAACTTGATTTCATTTTTTTTTTTACGAATAAGTATCGAAACGTCAATACAAAATTATTATTTTTTCTATTGTAAATTGAACTAGTTTACTGTTCTTCTTCATAGCATAATATATATATATATATATGAAGCGGCAATAGTATTCTAAACTGTTCAATCAGTTAATTATCAACGCGATTATTAATTCAACCATTTATATTCCGCGGGGAGGAACCATACAAAATAACTGAAACAAGTTTTGCATAAAAAGAACATTAGTCCAGAAAAAGTTATTATTGCGATTACGTCTAGCGGCTAAATCCGATAATATTATCTACGCAGTCACTATTATTATTATTGCCTTAGGTCTTACCTAGGTTACGACCTAACACGAACATGAACATGAAATGTTTTTGCACCATTTAAGACACAGTAGTCCGGGTGTATAAATTATAATAATTTTCGTCTTTACCTTCGTACCCATGAACAAATATCAAAAATCTAACACTTTTAGTTTGAAAAAAACTTAACGACGCGCATGAATCCACTAGTAAAAATAAAAAAAAATACATATGTATTTTATATAAATTATCAAATAGAATAATAAGTTATAATATGTATGATATATTGATATGATGTAGGAATGAATAATATTTTAATTAAATGTGTTCATTATACGTTTTTAACATATTTTTGGATTTTAAAAATGTATAAAACAACAAATGACATAACTAATAATAGATTTGTTATAATACAAAATATGATGTTCATCTTTGCTTTATTCTTACAGTAAAGATGAGATTATTTTCACTTAAAAGAACGGTTCAATGCTCAAGTCTGTATAGCAGAGTATCATTTTCATCGATTAAATTGATTTTGAGATCACATTTTAAAGAATTGTCTGATATATAGTCCTGTAATTAAGAAAATGCAGGTCTAGTGGTTTTCATATTAATATAGCATAATCCCATTACCCATAATGATTGTTGGAAAGTTTGATACAGTGTAATTTTGAAGAAATAATTATGTTAGGATTGAGCGTAGAAGTTATTTCAACTTAAAAGTATTTCATATCTTTCTCGCCATTTGAATGCATTATGTATTTTATATCCATGAACACATAATATCATACATTATACACGGATGAAAACAATTTATCATGATAATACTATACTACCGACTACCGGGAATAAGGATAAGTAAACATATAAATAAAAACGCAAATCTTTATATAATAATTTATACCGAGGTATCATTAATATTACAGGACAATTTAAGTCTATATACAAAATGGTATGTAATTAGAAGAAAAGTAATCTTAAAACGTTGACTAATACCAATATTATTATTATAATCTATGGGTACTTAAAAGTATTTATATTGTATTGCGAGACCATGTACGTATAGTAAATCGGAGGATAATAATATTACTGTATAGTTAATCGTAATTAAAAATCACGTTGGTGTAATATTATATTAAATAGCCACCGTTCCGTTAATGTCTGATCATACGACTACATAGCGCAATAACTATACCGGGTTGCCAAGAATATCACAAAATTCGGAAATATCATAAAAACGCTGTTGAAAAAAATTACGTATAGGTATATAGTTACTTTAAAATATTTTTTATGCCCGTGTTCGATTTTAGGAAAACGTGATAAAAAAAATAATAACCCGATACGAATAAATGGTATTTTTATGTTGTACGTAAGGCCGTTTATTGTTTTTGTGACATTTTCATTTTGTGTAAACCATTATGGTAAATAGGTGTAGGAACTTAACCGAGAACATAAAGATAAACGATATTCACTACCGTCATCAAAAGTACCTATAGATTTTTAGTATAAAATATTATTTCTTACACTTCAATATATAATACGGTAGTAAATCACTTATACATTTTATTACCTATTTAAATTTTAAACTTGCATTTCTTTGTTTTTCCGTTTTACTTTTTTCCTGTCTTTTTTCCCTTAGATTCTTTTGATTATTCATTTATTTATTTAAATATGCGAACGCCTTGATCGCAGTGACAAGAGAACAATAATTATTATAAACAGTTAAATTACAGTTATAAGAACAGGCCAAGCTGAGTATGATTGCGACGACGCAACATCTTATGTAAAGGTTGGTTGTGACCAGAAGACATGAGATGTACCGGAATAGAGAAGGGTGAGTGATTTTGAGTAGACTATGAGGAAAACGCGGAAAAATACATTTTCTAGTAAGTCAGAAGAATCGAGAGTAGCATTGATAAGAGAGGAGATGAAAATAAGGTCAGCATTGATACAACAAGAGGAGAGAGTAGGGAAACCGAGGAAGAAGCAGATGCAGTCGTAGTCATGCGGTATATGAGCAATCTTCAGTTGATGGGCTGCAAACGAAATGGGGCCGATGCGCAGCTGGTTACCCTCCCATGTAGGGGTGCCAAACGATGACCCCGTATTCTAGGATTGACCGCACTAGGAAGCAATGTAAAGCACGAAGACGGAATGCAGAGGAAAAAAGAATTGCGCTTCACCCAAAGATCTTTAGAACAACGCCCAATTATACTTATATATTAGCTAATTCCATAGTAACCTTGCCCATAGCAAATTAAATGCTTGAAATATGTAAACCTCTATAAATTATGTTTAAAAAAAAAGACGGATATGCTTTGCTAGTGGGTGGACCACAGTTATAGGTGAGAAGTTTGGAAGGTAAAGAAGAAATTTAATGTATATCTGTAACGATTAACAATTGATAACGAAAAACGATTCTGAGCGGAGTTCGGTTAATATTGATGCTCTGTAAATAATATATAATATGTTATTATATATTATGATAAAATAATTATTTTCACAATATGTGTTATATATTTTCTTTAATAATGTTTGTTTAATCTTGTATCTATTTTCTCGTTGTTCCTGCATTTTTACTCATTTATTATGAAAACAACTGGACAAATTAAAAAACTACCTCCTTAACATATCATCCCAATCAGATTTCCTTTCAGAAAATGGGCTATTATTGTACATCTGAGCAAAATTGCTAGTAAAAAAGTATGTTCACTGAAAAAAAAAAATAAACATCATAGTAAAACCAATCTCAAAGCTCAGAATCTAAAACAAAATTTCTCGCGCATTACAAATAAATTAAACAATAATAACAGGTTTTTATTTTTAGTTGTGTCACCAATGGAAACCAAATAAAATGCCATTTTCGTATTTTAAAAATAAAATTCTTATGTAAGCTCCCCCCCTATAGAGGATATATTTCCAAGAATAGATAACTTATAGTACTTTTCTTCATTATATTATGAACTTTCGTGCAAATTTTTAAGTTTTTAAACCCAGTGGTTTGGGCTGTATTAGGATGGGGTTGGGTTAGGTTCGAGGCATGTTGTTATACAGAAGTGGCCAAAAGTCGCGCAACAAATTTGCATTTCGGCAGTGTTACGAACGATAACGAACATGGCACTGCGTCTAATAGGTAATGTTGTTTTTTTATAAACCTTGCTGTTGTTGTACGTAAACAAGATAACGAGACTAAAGTTGCAATATGACGTAACGGAAACGACGTGGAGGGAGAAACGTGTTCCATACAAGAAAGTAGGCGTTGCGCGACTTTTGGCCACCTTTGTATACCTGTATAGATAATATTAAAATTTTCACAGTATTGCCCGTGACGAATTAAATGTCAGTTGATATAACCTCCTATCTTACATCCTTCCCGCTCTTTCATCGCATCCACCACAGGTTCACCTCTCATATTTCACCACCCATCAAAATTTACATGGTGATTTATTGAGATGAATTAAAATATTTTTCATTCGTTTCATCGTGGCAATCAATTGAAAATAAACATACAAATGTTAGCGAATTATAAGAACCGAGAATCAAGCTGTATCCACTACTCTTTAGTGGTTATATTCTGGGATCATAATAGTAGCTATAACTTCCTCGAGAGCTACAGATCATATAACAATGAAAGACAAATTCTCGAGAATTGTTCGGTCAGATAGACGCGTCGAAAGAATTGTGGTTATTTACATATTATATAGGTAGTATATTATTGTTCCGTGTATACTAGCATATCAACTATGCATATGTGCGTTTTTTGTAGACCTCTTACGAAATAGATTATAATTATAACCATAGAATCAATAAAAATAACCACAGTGTCCAAATAATTTTAGTGGTATGGACTCAACATCAGTCAACAATTTCGTGTGTCGAAAATCGTTGCCCTAGTATAACGGTAGGACGTACAGTGAATATATGATAACAACTACGTGTCGCAATATTATTATTATTATACTGTGTTAAAACTAACGTGGGTATATAGGTACTGCTGTTATTAAAATTATTATCATCATCATAACCGACTTGTATTCATCGCCAGACTTGAATTCACCTTCAGTGTTGGTGATTTTGACTGTTATACTAACTATATATTGCGCGTGACCAAATACAAAGAAAACAGTTTTCGTTAAACGCTCGTGATTTTCCGACAACGAAATCCGTACATACCTATTGCATCGTGCACGCAGAATGCATATTTAATCGACAATTATAATACTATAGGTGTATAGGTAAACGTGGCGTGATAATAACACGTCGTAAAAAAAAAAAAAACCGCACAGATATCAATCTCTTTACTATATGTAGGTACGTAAAACGGCTATCATAGACAAAATCGAAATGTTACTCTTGTTAAACTCGATTATTATATAGTCTATCTTTTCGTGTAAAATCATAAAAATTCTACAACAATTTTGTTACTATAAAAATGTATGGCATGTAAAACCTGTACCAGTTTTAATATACACCGTTGCAAATGTACAAAATTACGAATTCGTAATTATATATTATTATTATTATTATGATTAGGTATATATTATGTATACGTTCTATACAACCGTACACACATTATCGTTTTCACGCTTTCAAAGAAATCCAACGTAAAACCTTATTTGACACCGCCAAAAGAATGTTTCGAATAATACATTGTATATAAGCGATGTTATGATGAATGGGTTTTGCGAGACTGCAGAAAATAAACTAAATTTTATTTATTTCCTGTATAAAATAATTCTTCTGAAAACGTTTACGAAATAGGTGCACTGCGCTAGAAAAAACGAAAAAAAAATGATTTCACGATCATATGAAAACCGTTATCTGTTTATTGTAGCGATTATTTAAAAATATGGCACCTATCAATGTCTAAGTTCTATTTAAAACTTAAAAGAAAATCAATGATCATCTAAACCCATTAATAGTAAGGGGGAGGGAGAGGAAGGTTTAAAACAAAATATTAAAGGTTAAGTTTGAGTGGTTTTTCTAATATTAAAAAAAGAAACAAAAAAAGATAGACATAATATGAAAAATGAATAGTTAGAAAAATGAAATGTGATGATAAAAGAAGTCGTAGACTGATTCTTTCGATTACAAGTTGTCATTCAAGATCAGTTATCACTGTATCGGTTCACGACTACTTTTCTCGTCACATTTCATTTTTCTAAGTATTCATATTATTTCTATCTTTTTTTATTCGCTTTCTCCGCAATCGAGTTTTTTATTTGTTTTAATTCGGTTTCTTATTTTCATATTTTTATTTTTACGTAGTTTTGTTTTACAATGATGTTTATTTTTTTTTTTTATGTGAACACCTTTTCTTTCAGAAAGCTTACTCCAATTATCAAGTAGAGCACCTTTTATGAAAGGATAAGTTCTCTAAATGGTATTTTAGAGAAGTCATTCTTTAAAATTCTCATTAAGATTCGAGATAATGAGGAAAACCTGGTTCTTTAGATTAAAAATGATTGAAAGATTAAAAATAATTCTATCGTTGGCAACCGTTTTTATTTATTTTTTGTTATTATTAAGTTTTTATCATTTTAATTTTTTTTAAACAAATATTGTTATCATGGGAATGCATATTATTGCAAAAGCAATACTATAAACCGATCTATATTAAAATAAAATAAATCCCGATTTGAATAAATTTTTTTAACTACTAATCTTTATATTACCAAAATATATAACGTCTATTTAATTATTTTACCATAATATAACATAACCGTATTATATTAAATTATATACACTATACGTGAATTGTTGACAAAGTAACATTATTAACTGAATTCCGTTCAGAATCGTTTTTTCGTTAGCAATAGATTATCATTGCTTATAGATAAACATAACATTTTCTTCTATATCCTACCTTCCCGAATTCTCACTTAAAATTGTGGCTGCACCCACGTGCGGAGTATGTCTGTCTTTTTATTATTATTATTATTTTGTGGGTACCTATTTAATTAATGGTAAAAACTATTTGTTTTATATTTGTTTTTGAAGTATATCTTTATATAAAAAAAATTGTATTGTTGTATAAAAAGTGTATTTAAAACAATGCAAACATTTCACTAATTTCAAACATGGTATGTCTTGTGCATATTATAACGCTAAAGTATTTAAAGCACGCGAGAGCAATATTTTTTTCTATTTATATAATTGGTGATATAGACATATAATATGTACATGTAAAATAGTTACATTACAAGTGTATAACCAATTGTGATCCAAAAAATTAACGAAAAATCGAAAATTAGATCCGAGTATACTAAGTTAAATTTATTTAAACATCAAGGTCACTGTTTTTTTTTTAATTAGTTCTAACGTTATTACATAAAAAATTCGTTATTTTACTTTGAAAAATGTAAAGAACGACTATGTGTATGTGTCATGTGGTATTCGAATAATATAATTATAAGTTTTGATAATTTAATTTTACTTTATACTTTATGGTAACAAAATAACAAAGCTCGAATTGTGTTATTCCTTATTGATGTTCAGATTACCACTCGCGCGTAAACACTTTGGTAACTAACATATACAACACTTCGAGTACGCTCAAAACAATAGCATGTTTTTTCCATGTGTAATGTATTATTATATTATACTATACACCACATGCTCAAGTGTCGACTGTAGCAATTTTAAAATGTCGATACGAAATATTAGCTACTTAAGGGTGTAGAATATGGTGGACGTGCAACCCATATTATATTAATATGTCTATGATTTACCTCGTGACACAATAGCCACGACGATAATGCATTCGTAATCAATTTTCGTGCTCTCTAAAACGTTAAACGAAAATAACAATACATATAATATAATCGTGTTAATATATAGTAATAATTGTTCTACGACGACCAGAGTCGGTATACCAACCCAGTATACCTGTATTGGTCTATATACTGACGATCATTTCGAAACTATCGGTTGTTCCAAAACCGTTTCAATTGTAAACACGTTACCAACACGGACAGAGCCTGCAGATTAGCGAGTGGGAGTCACAGTGTATAATTTAAGAGACGCGTTATTGTCTTTTTGGCCCGAACCGGTTGCTTAACGACCACCTCGAGAGAGCGCATAAATCATCCGTTGCTTTTGATTTTATTACCTGACATTAATATTAAAATAATAACCACGTCGAATGCACAAACTTCATACATCAGTATCTGAACGAATGTTACATAAAAAAAAAAATTGTTTAATAACTGATTAAACTAAACATATTATAATACAGTGAGTGATGATTATTTTTAGACAACATATTTTGTCCGCATGTCCTTGGATTTAAATTCAATTTCTGGATGGTTATACGATGAATTATACAGATATACATATTTTAAGTTCAATTTAAAATTGTTAACCGTTTCGGTGAGTGCATATTCAATAAACCGTGCTTTATTTTATGGTGCCTCTAATTTTCTTCTACATATAGATTCGAATAGAAAAATGTTTTCAAAGAAATTTGTATAAGCTCCAAATATATCGATTTGTATTGATATTTGTTCTCATGTTTTTTTTTTTTTTTTTTTCATATATCGGCATATCGCTTCTAATTCGGATTATGTACACTATATACAGTTGACAACAGACAGATAGTATGACAAATTTTAAAATGTATGTTGGTCTGGTATGTATATAGTCTACAACCTTCTTAATCTTACCTATTTCTAAAAAAAAAAGTAATAATGGGTGTTGTTGGAGGGGGGAAGGTTTAAAACACTTAAAATGCCCCGGCTACGGCACTGGGTGGTGCACAGCAGATATAGATGATTATGCATGGGTAAATTACTATATTGTTATACGATGATAATATACTATACGATATAATACGGCGCTAAAAACAAAAAAATGTTCAAATATTCATAATAACTGAATTAAATAGGTATAATGTTATTGCAACCGTACACCAAATATCTACCGAACAGGAACCCCGGAAAGAATACAAGATAAACGAAACGACTAATAATTATTATAATTGACGGTTATAACGTCCTTTTTTTTTTTTTTTTTTTTCCGGTGCTTCTTAGGAATATTTTTTAAGAAGGTATACCCACGGCAAACGGCGTGTCAAATTGCTGCACCTATATTATAATAGTATGTACTCTATATAAAAAAAACCCGGCCGCGGCTTTTTCAGAACACGAATAATATTATTATTATTATTATATATTCACCTATACTTGACTAGTACCGAGCCGTAATACAATATCATTATTATGTTTCACAACCCAACACTATACAATAATAATAATACAATGTACCTACCTATGTCCGCTGCGTTTATTGTAACTATTTTATTATTCACGACAGTAATCACACGATTACAATTCTACTTGAGATTCAAGTGATATTTGTTTTATTGTGTTTAAAAAACGAAAAAGGAAACCTTAGTTTACAATTTTCTATCGTCACCGTCGTTCGCAAAAAATGGCCAAGTAAAATTTCCGTGTTTTGGTAAACTAAAATTGATTGTATTTATATTCCCAATAGTCTGGAAAATCACAAACTTATTCGTTTTTTTTAAATATTATTCGTTTGAAAAATCCGTGAAAAGAAAAGAATTTAACTTTAAAATTTTCATTTTTTTTTCTAATGAATAATAACCCGGGAAAAGTTTATATTTTCAAATTACAAATTATGTGTATTATTTTTAAAAACATTTAAATTACATACAATTAAAATACTAAGTATTGCGATATTTTTATTTCAATAGTTACTTTTACTCAATTTCCAAATCTGAATGTATTATTATATCTGTATATTTAAATAATCGAAAGTACGTAAAATATCACAATAAATTTCAAAAAAATAAAAAATGTTCTTAAACTAAACTAGGCCAAATATTACGCTCATCGTAATCCAAATGCATACATATTATAATATAACGTTTGAAAAAAAAATAATGGCGTTGGCTTTGCGAATACAAATTAATAAAATCTATAAAACTGGACATAAAACCAGTTTAGTAAGTGTAATATTATGATAAATTGAAATCGACATTAAATTTACAGACTATGCGTATACAAGTCAAACCACATATTTTATGAAAAATTAAACCAGCAAAAATATAATGGCATATAATTTATATAAGTTTCATGAACAAAACGATCGCGATTGTTAAGAAAAAAATGTATCACAAGTTTGCTATTTCATTTTCTTGCTACGAATATAAATTTTCTATAATAAATCGAAAAAACATTACATTAGGACCATTAAAGTGGTTTTTTTTCGTTTTCATACATTTAGACCAATATGTTGGAGTGTAATAAACTTCCAATAGTCTAGTTTCTGTTTAAAAAAAAAAAATGATTTGATTTCGTATAGTTCTTTTTTTTCTTTTGTATGGCACTTATTATTACCATGTAATTTAACATAGTTATCTAAATAAACAAACGAAGAAATTAATTGTGAAACATTAAAAAACTCTCTCTTATAAAACATATAAAAGAAATCAATGAATTCAAAAATCTTATCAAAATTAAAAATGTATGGAACAGTAGAGGTTGACTTTTAATCCAGCTTATTGGTCAAAACCTTCATATAAATCCGTAAATACGGCCACAGGTCCGTACCCATTCCTCTTAAATGTGCGTAAGACGGTAAACTAATGTACAAGTCAATTATATATAGTAATCATTAAGGTGTTCATCAAACGGTGAAATTTCGGAAAACCGGTTTCAATCCTATTGAAATCCAAAATAAAAGCCTGAGATAGAACAAAAACCGTCATTGTGATGACAATTGTGCGATGTCACGTCTACATTTACATTTTACTATCTCAGACTAAATAACGGGCGACATGGCAAAATAATTGCGTTACGTAGAACCGAAATTGTGGCGTTTATGTTGAAACGCAGATTACAAAAACAATAATAATTTTTAGAGTATTGAGTTAAATTTTGTATTTTAATTATTGTCAAACAAAAATAATACAGCCATATAGGTAGTTTTTGATTTTTCAAATGGCTAAAACTTTTTGGCTTGACAAAATATTTTAAATAAACCGCAACGTATACTGCTTTCGAAAATATTTTACTCTTAACAAATTTGTTATCAGTATTTGAACTCTAATTTCAATTTGAACTTCAACTACACGCCACAATTATTTATGTTTTACGTAAAAACATTTCGGTATGTCGCCCGTTTATAGTTACGATTAAGACAGTACAGATGTGAGTGTGGCGTCCTCCATGAATGCTATCGCACTAAAAAATATGTACCTATAGAAATGAAATGACTTGAAGTTTTATAAAAGCTCTAGTAATATTAGAACGTTACACAGAAACCATGGAAATTATTATATAGAAAATCGATATCAAATATAAAACTATTTTAAAATCGTAATAAACAAACAATGGCTATTAGTTAACCATGTAGACAAATTGGTTTTATTTCGTCTAAGAACATACGAGTTTAATCGTTCTACGAGTTATTGTCAGAAAAGACAACCATATACAAACGTCATAATCCCTTTTGAGCTTGTACATACGTCTGTAATTTAATTTTCGATAAAAACATAATAATCCTCTTTTACGTCGTCAATAAACAATGCGATATTATTTACTGAAAACGTCTATAAAGTTAAATACATATGTGGGTTATATTTCATAGAAAACGATGAATAATATACAATAACTAATACTGAAAACAAAAAGTCAACTCGAATTTGTATAATATCGCCTGTTGCAACGAAAATGGTTGTACCTTACTTTTTTCAACTTCTAATCTTTAATGTTCTAATCTATTATCATATTATCACTTGTGTAACAAAATAGATCGAATTCCGTTTTTTTCAATTTATAATTTAATATCTTTGGACAAGTGTAGATACGATCATTTTCGCGGGTGATTCTTAGATTTAAAAAAAAAAACAGGAATCACAACTTTTTTCGTTGTGATTGGCAATATGATATGTAAAATTTCAGCTTTTCTATTATATTTATTTATTCTTTAATTTATCAATGTGATGATTGGAGATGTGTGAAGTATCTCCATAAGTTTTATTCAAACATAAAATTAATACACTGTCCTATTAAAAAATTCTGGTTACACGCTTGAATTTAAGTAACATTGAATTACATAATTATTTTTTTTATTTCACCATTTTTAACAAAATAATTAATTAAGGTAAGTGATAGCTAAAAATTGCAAAAAAAAAAAAAATTAGTCAACGCTATAGAGTATAGACACTTGTGTAAAATGTATTATATTTTATTTAATATTATTCCACAATACAAAACTAATAAAATACTTTCGTGACTGTATTTAGTAAATATTTTAAATGCCGGGAAATTTCAGGAAAAACGGGCATTATCCAATGTATCGGAAAAAGTGGACAAATCGAAGAATTTAAAAATAATGCGTTAGAAAATTAAAATCGTATTAACTTATTAGACTCGAAATCACTTGGAACGGTCCTGACATATCCAAACACAATCTATCCTTTCTCCATTTCGCCTTTAAGGTTCATTCGGTTATAACTTATAACCGTATGAAAAGTGAGTCTTATAACTTATAAGACTCACGTTGTGCTGGTCCCAAAAGGAGTCTTATAAGTGGTGTCCACTGTTGGTATACTAATACGTATATACGTTGAGATGACTAATAGGTAAATGGCTCATTTAGTAACAATTTTATAGTTTCTATTCAATGTTTCTGAAAGTTTTAAAATCTTTCCCGGGATTTTTACTTCCGCCGAAATATCCTAAATTGTTCTTAAGAACCTTGTTTTCCACGATTTTTGTTTTGGAAATTTTGATTCCTAGTAACTGTATATATATATATATATGACTAATTACAGTTACTGTATACAATAAAATATATATATATTTTATTAGGTATTGCGTATTTATATATTATTTTATACGATTGAAACAAATAATTTTCAAGATTGTACGTCTATCATCCAAACAATTTCCATCATGTAACCTAGTTCCCAGCTAAAAATAGATACAACTATAATATTAGGTTAAAATCAATGATCCAGAAATAAATAAGAAACATTCTTTGTTATTTCTCCTTAAACATAATAATAATGTGGTGTAACTAACAAGTTTTCTAAGTGACCGCCACCACGCCGTTTAAAAATATTAACCTAGTTATTATTATAAATTTATGTTAAACCATTTTAAAATAATCGAGTTAAAGTTACAAAAACTTAGTTTGGTTAAACGCGAGTTCAAATGGACTTTTTAAAATGTTCGAGGGGAAAAAAACGTACCTATAATAGCATATACCAGTGAAAAACAAATATTCTTTTTTGCAATAAACACGAAATATTCAAAATAGTGACTTTTTGGGCGATTATGTTTTCCTAATTTAATTGTTTACTCATAAATACGTGATAGGGGAGGAGGAAAGGTGAGAAATAATTTTTTTTATATTTAGTTTGGGGTTCGAAACACGTTCACCACTGCCCACTTTCAAATCGACATACCCAATACGCATCACTTCAATACCTTATAGACTAAAAAGTATTGATAAACAGTTTTGTTTAATATTAAGTAATTTAAAAAAAATAAATAAATAAAATAAGAAATAAATAATTAACAGTATATCATCATGAACAGTATCATAAATGTCGATGTACTATCGATATGCCATTCTTAACGCCATTAGTTTTGACATGTATTTGTCAAAGTGCTATAAGTAAATCGAAAAGTCGAATAATTGCACACACAATAATTCTGAAACTTCTTAAATGTTTGAATTTGAAAAATTGTCGACGATTTTTCGTATCAGATTGATTTCGACACAAATAAACTGACGTCGACATTACAAGTATATACCAGATCGTCGAAAAATACGTACTATTATTATAATTATGTCTGCCGGGAATCAGTGAAATTCTACTCTGCCGTTTTCGAATGACACGATTTCATGTGCGGTGAGCTGTGGTGGGTTGGGATCACACTGCAAGGAATTCAAAACGGGATCAAATATACGGAATCTGCGTGCACAAGCGTAATATATTATTGTTACAACGTACCCTAAAAAAGAGGAAAACGGCTATAACACGTTAACTGTATTTCGCTATTTGTTTACCACTAACCTGATACGTTTTCAATCTGTATGAACAAGAATTTCCTCTGGAATGATAATGACGACTCATGCAACACGACGACCGACAAAACCCATAATGGTTTTAAAATGTACATCAGAGTATCACGTCACCGCCACTACTGGTGCCACCTTATCTACCGCTAGACCTCGGGAAGAGATCCGGAGCGTTCACCAGACACGAATCCTTCGTAATATAATATTATACACGAATGTATTGGTTTTACCAATATGATGTATGTGAGTGTGTGTGTGTTTTTTTAAATTTCTGTGAAAAACATTTCGACAAAAAATCTCACTCCAATCGTCAACATCAAAGGTTATTCCTGGCAGTTTCGGCTCTCCAGATGAAGCGAATGATTGGCTCTACCAAAGACCCTCGCAAATATATAAACTTCAGGCAGGGGGTGTTAGGAAAAATATAAAATTGCCTACTATTGATATCAAAAAAGAAAATGTTGTTTAAATTAAAAACTTCTGGTCACGACCGTGATAAATTTACCTCCACTCACTATTAGACATCCACAGACCCATATGAAATTTTCCTATCGCCATATAATTAATATAGTTCGTTTATTATAAATGTTGTCTTTTCTAAAATCCACAAATAATAATTAGCCATACAACATCGCCTCGTTTTTAATTTCTAATATTATAGTATATGAGTTCATTAGCGTGCTAAAGTAGGATTTTTGCAGTGATTTGCCTCATGTCTAAAATGGATGGATCGCCAAATAATATATGAAATATTGATCAACTAGTTTAGAGATCATTCATATTACAACGTTTCTTTATGGGTATGATAGCCTATGTAGCCAATGTTGCTAAATAGTTATACATTGGATATAAAAGTATTCTAACAGATCAAGCGTAAATGTATAAAATAATAGTCAACGAGTTACTGCATGTGTTTATACTGGTATGTTAACATCGTCTACCCTTATGATTTGCAAAATATTTACACCACAATTTAAAAGGTTCACGATCTGTCATTTGTTGTAACAAATGTAGGTAGACATTTTTGTCTAGTTGTTATACTTTCCTTATATACTTTTCATGAATGAAAAATTGGAATATTTTCATTTTTATTTAGTTTTTATTTTAAAATGTACGATTCCACGAAAAATAGTCGTAATGATCTACTTTTTTACCGAACACTTATGACACATTGTACATTAATTAAAAAACATTTTACAATTTTCGAAGTATGTCCGGTGTTTTTGGGTTATTTAAAAAGCTATTCGACATTTTCGAGATGTTTTTTATTTTTTTTTTCGAAATATATGGATACAATTTTTTCGGCCTACCTTTCCTCTTACAACAGCGGTAGGTATATATTAGCTCTTTTGCTGTACACGTGTTATCATACATAAATTGTAATACCTGCTGGTACCACGGTGCCGGGGCCGAATTTGTCGACCAGCTCCTGGACGAATATCCCGGCGGCCAGGTGGAGTCCGTGGGCGAGCAAGTGAGCGGCCACTGCCACAGCGGCTACTACCCAGCCCCAGCCGCCCTCCGGGTAGTAGTGCTGTTTGAGGGTGACCAGCTGTCGGACGTCACCGAGCCCGGACAGGCCGGCCGGCTGCGACTTGCTGCTGCAGTGACCGGGCAGCGGCGCGCCTCCGTGCAAATGATGTAGACCGCCGCCGCCGTCCGGACACCCGCCGTCGCTGAAGCTTCCGCCCACGCCAGAATCGTTGCCCAACAGATGCGGCAGGCTCCTGGAACGGAACAGTCCTGGTCCGCCGCCTATGCAGACGCCTACGCTGCCTCCACCGACGCCATCGCCATCACCGACACCGACGCCGCCGCTACCGCTCACCACCACTCCGCTGCAATACACGAGCCCCCCCCCTCACTGTCAACGCCGGGCCACAAAATTATAACAATATTAGCCACAACTGTCGTAACGTTTGTTTTTCGTTATTATCGTTTCGTTCGTTTTATCGTTAAATACCGTCATCGTTTTCCGCCGATTATCGTCGCCATTTGGAAATCGTTCACCGCGATTCGAGAACTTATTACAAATCACACACAATACAACCCCTCCTCCCGCCCCGTCAATCATCGATTTGCGACAGAACACGAAAACATATTATTAAAATGTGTCACATTAGTATCTCCCTAACAAGTTCGATTTTTTCTAAGTCATTCGAGAATAAATTTTACTTTTGAGTACCTATATGTAGGTGGTTTTTATTGCAGTCTAATTTTTGAAATATATTTGATCGAAATTGTTAATTTGTATTGAAAATGTAGGTAATAAACAATCATATACATATCGGTACTTATAATTAAACTTATAGTTCAGATAATAAAAACATGGATGAATTTCACCCACAGTACCCACATTATTGTATAAAAATATATTTAAATATCGAGTTAAATATAATAGATAATAATAAATTGTTATAATAACTATCTAGATGACGATAATAGATACATAATAATTGAGTTATCTACGGAGAGATGAAATACGTTTTATTTATAAAAAAATATATATATATTTATGTAAATAATTCTGTTCACTACCCGTTAGAAAACTAAATGCCTAAATTAGTAAAATTACAAGTATTAGTCTAAAGATTTGACAAAGGTTGTATATTTAATACAATTTAATAAGTGAATTAATTTACTTAACCCTAATTAAATAAGTATATGAATTAAATATTTTACCTATTATTTATAATTATTAGTTATATAAATTACAATTTGAAAAAAATGTATCGAGATTATTTGATTATTTATAACGGACAACTTATTACTATTTTATCTAAATAACACTGGCCAGTGATCACCCATAGTTTTCATGTACGTATTTATAGCATCACTTGTTTGAATCACTGTAGTTATCATTTACTCAAACGTAAACAAACGGCCTGACTTGTTATCTCCAGTTCAGAACCGCGAAAATATAGTGACCTCATTTGGTGATGACCCATCAAGGTCTTCATTGTCTATACACAGTTTATATTATATTTTAAAGGATTTGCAGAAGAATTTTGCGTTACAATATGAAATTTAAAAATTATGGTTGTTATTGAAAAAAAAAAAAAAAGAATAATATAAGAATTGTAAAGGTACTTATATATAAATCATAATATAAGTGACTAATCGAAATACATAAATTCACCGCGAGAAAAAAAAAGTGCGGTACCTGCGTTAAATAGAACACCTCTGTGTATTGTAAGTACTCATAATCAACCTTCGACTCGTCACGATTTTCATAATTTTTAAAACTATTACACCGCCTCGGCGATATTATTATGACGTCGTGTTATAATAATAGTGACTCGTTTTTCTTCCTTGAGATATTATTTCAACAACAGCTGACAGAATATACTTTTTCTAATATCAAAAGAATGTCAGTTGGTACATGGGAAATTTCAGTCAAATAGTATAATATTAGTTACATAGTTTTATTGATTTGCATATTAATATCGTTTATTGGTTAAAAAATTTAACATTTATAAATTGGTACTTCACTTGTTAACGATACCTCTAAGTCAAATTTTTCATTTGTCACCCGTATTTCAATATTCGCGAAATTTTAAAATTTGATCTTAAATGTATTCATAGTTCATAATGTCGAAAATTTGCTCTGAAACGCTTTGTGTTTTCGAGAGATAATACGGCATAGGTAATAAAATTGTTATAAACACATGTTGTTATGAATTTAATTTATTAGGGTGAATCAAAAAAAAAAAAATGTTTTTTTTTTCGCGGACTTATCTTCATATTTTATTTGTGCAGGTTTATCATCGAATTATAGTTCACTGAATAAAGTTCGTTAGTAGCTATGATTAAATCATCATTGATAAAGTTATTAGCCTCGAAACGTAAAAGATTACAAAAAAAATAAATGTTTTTCAAGGATAATTTCGAATTAATGATTTATCAACATTTTGTATATTATTAGTTTCACGCTAATAACTTTGTAAATATTTTCATTTTTTTTTTATTTTTCGTAAAATACGATTCGGTGGCATATTGTTACACCCGTACAAATAAAATATAAAGACACAGCTACGAATAAACAATTTTTTTTTAGTCCACCGTAGTGTATGTTAACGGCATTTTTCATAGTCATAATCATATTTTACATATTGGCTAGAAATTCTGCATATTACCTAACTATGTTTTATGAAGTGTATAAAATAAATTTTTTCTACACACAATTCCTAAATAATTTATATAATAACTTACCATTTCATAAAATGACATAAAAAAATGTAGGTACAGAATAGAGAAATCGTTCAACATTCTATCTTTGTGTCCTAACGATTGGTGAACAACTTGTAACTCATCAAAACCAACACTTTCATTAGTATACTTAGTGAAATAATGTTATCATTATTTTTAACAGAATACATTAGTTTACAATTAAAAATATCGTATTATTTTTTAAGAAACCAATAGTCACACCATTCTTTTTTTATAATGTCTTTCGATTAAGTACTAGCAACATCAATTATTAATTGATAATATTGTTCTTCAGTAAAAAAAAAATACACTATTTGTTTACATCACATTGTCGCTTTAATAACTCGGTAGTATAAACAACCGATTACATTAACACGCATGAGGAGATTCTCGTAACATTTGTAGAAGACTGAAATATGCATTTGAAAATTCCAAATATAAAGTTGAAAAAGTTTAATATAGAATTATCGACATTATCTCTCTGCAGTTGATGCTCTGTTTAATTTATTATTATATTACAGATTATTAGTATAGAAAACAGGTAGACTAGAAATTGAAAAAAACGTTTTGAAAAATAGATAGATAGATATATAATATATATATATATATATATATACAGTGAAAACCCAATATAATGAAACTCTTTTCAACGAAATCTCTATGTAACGTAAAAATTACTTAATAGGTCAGTTTGCTTTATAACTTATACTTGAATATTCCCTTTACAAAGAAAGAAATCTATTTATCCCTTAAGATTCGTTATAAAGAGTTTTCACGGTATATTACGGTTTTCACCTAAATTTGCAAATAAACAGTTAACTAATTAACTATAATGTGTTAACTGTTTGTTTGCAAAATACGCGTATCTATCTACATATCTGTCTATCTAAATTGTGTTACAATTTTGATTAACAATATTTATCTACCCGCTAAATGATTTATTTTTTTTCATATTTTTTTAGAATTATGTCGGTAAAATAACTTTAACCGTCCATTTGCGACGTTTTTATCATATTGAGTGACCTTCGATGTCGATAAGATATATTAAATACATCACCAATACATTAATTGAAATTTGTTAAAATACCTAGATCATTTAAATAATTGTATATTCTCTAAATATATTTGGAATCATACAGGATTCCTAGACATTAAAATATCATATAAAAATCCACAATTATTTAGATTTTCATTAACATATTATATATCTACCTTATAGTTACGTCGTAGGGTAGATTTGGTTAAAGAATTAAAACGAAGTTCTAATCTACGAATTTCCTGATATATAAATCGCATGATAATAATTAATTTCAAACCGATTTGTCTATAATAACGAGGTGAACACAAAACCGATAAATCCTACGCACACCGTCTTTCTCATCCGTTGAATTTAATTTTATGAGAAAACCTTAATGTTTTTCGCCGTTATTAGTGTACTTGTATATTTATATACGTATATAATACAGGAAAATATAAAAATGGTTTATTACACGTAATTACCAATCCGGAAAGCAGAAACTCCGACTAATGTATGAAAACATGAAATGATTTGCTGAAATCGTCTCTATAAAATATCTACACTCGTTAAAATTTGAAATCAATATATTTATGTATACAATCTAGGTTATAGATGATACTCATAATAATATAGTTAGATAAATATTAAAAATTCCAGATAATATCGATACCTTAAACAATGTGTTTTAGAACCCAAAGTGTATACCTCGAAATTCTAATGTGTTAGGAAACAAATTCATACTATTAAAGCGCACTAAAAATGTGAATACATCTTTGTATATGATGACAAAATTGTGTTTTTTTGTTGCTTTTATTTGAATTTATATTATATAAGATGATCAGCGGCTTAACTGGGGGTAACGAAAGGGTAACCGATACAGTTGTCTCAAGACACAAGATTTTTTTTTTGGGGGGGTCTTATATGTATGATTTATGGCACTAGTGATTGTCAAGTAATTTATAGACAAATTATGGTTAAAATTGAATCAATATAAACGTGCACATGAAGCAGGCTAACAGCTTCGTCAAATTAATTGACCGTGACTCATGTGACAAACTGATAAATCTGTTAATATTATAACCATACCAATCATACTATACAAATTATTTCATATTTTCATAAGCATGTGTTAAATATAAATATATAATATACATTATGTGTGTAGTCTAAATGTAAATTTACATGATTTAAAAAGCAAACGAAATGTTTAATGTTATAACACCTTATTAGGTGTGAGAGGATTAATCTTTTCCGAAATAAAAACAACTTTGAAATGATTACTCAGTAAAAGATACAACCACAGAACTTTAATGATGACAAAGAGTATAATTTCTATTATTTAGTATAAATTTTCGCCTCAGAGTGTTTTGATGTGCTGTTTTGACACTGGAAATTATAATGCATAAATGTATTAGTACATTATCGCCCATGCATTATGGCCTATACGGACTATACCTACCTGCCTGAGCTTTAATCGTCTTAAATTCTAACGTGCAATAACGATATTTGATTTCTATGAACTTGAATAGAGGACTTTAAAAGTTAATAAATTTGACTTAGTAAATACTGTTTTCTTTGTAGGAAACAGATTATATTATTATATACGTAGACAGCCAAAAAAAACATAATAACGAACTTACAGTTTCAAAAATTGAGTGAAACATATCGCTGTATACATAATAATAATAAAAATAGAGCCAATTAATAACAATTTGCTTTTTGTATCGAACATTGAAATAGTATATTTTTTTTATACCTGTAGTAAGTAAGTTTAAATCAACAATGCGATTATTTCTGCTGCTAAACGAGTTTTTATGTAAGTATAATAGGCGTTATGCAAAATCGAATTAAATCCGGTATAACTGTCATTAAAATAATATGTAAATTGCATTAATATACCTAACAATATTGCGAAAAAACACGAATTGAGATAAAAAAAAAAAAATAATAATAATAATTTCATCGATAATATATTTTAATGGCGATGATCCGATCTATATAGGATACTCAACGCGAACGTACAAATCAAGAATTTCTAATGCATCATTATTATTATCGTAGCGAGACAAATTAATAACAAAATATTATCCAAACGTGATATAAATTGCAATTTAATGAATACCTAACAGTAATATAGCCAGGTGTATGTAACGTATATAATAATAAATGTCTATTTACGTTTACTGTCTCATTTATATAAGTGTAGTATTTACACTTCGCTCTATACTCGACACGCCCTTCGGTATAATATTATAGCAAACGTAAATTATAATAGATTGTTCAAAAATCAAAGACCCCCAACGACGAAAACTTCTACGTAAAACCGTTTTACCACAACGATGATTCTTCTCCTCTATATCTCATTTTGTTCGTACACATCATCGGATATTATAACAATAATAATACATTATTTCGTTTTAAATTTAACTTCCGTGCGTAAAGAAAAAGCTATTAGTTTTGTTAAGAATATGTTTTTATTTTCTTTCAGAAATCACTATTTTCGGTTAGTATACAAATTCGAATTTTCCACACGGTGTGCTAGATAAATCTGGCTGCAGGAAAATGTGACTGCAAGAAGACAGATTTTCCTAAGTCACATTCATCTGGTTTATAAAATTAAATGCTTAGTAATTTGAATATAATAAAGTTACTTATTTATTCAGACCAAATTCGAACTAATTGAAATACATGATTTACTTAAAAACTTTAATGCCAATAGTATAGTATAATACTCGACAGTTTAATATATTTATTAGTATTTGAAGAGGGAAAATCACACAGAGATTATTATTTTGTTTCTAACAAATTTTCCCACCTCACTATAATATGATTCTAAACTTAAAATTTGGTAAAATTTTGGTCCGTAAATAATAAATCGTTTATTTTTAATAATCTATATATGTTATTTTTAAGTTCATAATTTTCAAATAATAATAAAGTTTAAACTATTCGTAATCCTTTACAAGGAAAATGCAGCAGAAAAGATACATAAAAGGTATAAAAACAATAAAAAAAAAATGTTACACCGACTGAACATTCAAAAAAAAAATGAACTCGGTCTTTAAATAATGATGGTTAGTATTTTATGACTTCCTTAATACTTAATATTTAATAGTATAAACGAGTACTAATAGTACATATTCAATGTATATATAGTAAGAAAATACTCACGGGATATATCCTGGGTATATTTTAATTTGTTTAATTAAAATTATATTAGAAATTATCAACTATTTTTTTTAAAAGTATGAAATTATAATATTTATCAAATATTAAGACATATTATGTTGGTTTTATATGTACGACACTTAATTGAATAGAATATTAATAATTTATAGAAAATACATTAGGCATTAGACATTTTTCTCCACATAGTGAGTACAATACAATGAATCCAACGATAAATTGTTTCAATCAAGAAACGATTCTGAGTGGAGCTCGGTAAACCGACATGGTTATATATTATAACAAAGTCGTGTTTTTTTCCATTGTAGCCAAGGTAACCTATAAATCAACAAAAATAAAACCACCGATATAATCTCATTTACTGTTAGGTTTTTAGTTTTGTCAAAGAGCCATTAGAACTTTTTAGAATCCTTTCTAGAAAGTTTATTAAAATAAGTACCGTCGAAAGAAAAATTCGCTTCTTTTAACGTATATGGTGTGAATAATTTACAGATTTATAACTAGTCAAAAAGATTATTTTCGACGAAAAAACATGTTATAATAGCTTTTTCGTGTTGTACTCAGAATCTAAAAAAATATATTTTTCAATTTTTGTGACGACGAGACGATCGCAGGGATATTTTACAATATTCTCAAATATCAGAAGTTTGTTCGGCTTTTTTACATTTAAATTCTAATTTATAATGTTTAATGTTGAAGGCATACATTTCGATCCAATTGACTTTTGCAGAATAAAAACAAATCCGTATAAGAATCATAATATTAATAGTATCCTTTGAGATTAAGTTGGTATACTAGACAGTAGTGAAACAGAAAAAAACATTAAAACGAAAAAATAAAAAAGAATCCTCGACGATACAAAACAAAATCGTAACTTATTTCAAAATTATTTTATATAAGTATAGATAATACGTACAACACTTAAATGAAAGAAAAAAGAACCTTTTTTTTTTTATATAACATAACCCCCAAGCGTTAAGTTAATAAATGAATATAGGTAATACTATTATACACTTAATACTCACTGTATTAGTATACAAGTGTATAAAATATGTATGTACGTTTTTTTTCAGTATTCTTTACTTGTGTTGAATAAAAACGCGGGAAATAAAGTCAAATATACCTACATTATACAGGGTGTCACTGTCACACAAAGATAATATGATCATTGCGATGTCTTAGAAAGTATTAACTTTTTTCGGATTTTTTTTTTTTGGACAATAAGAAACAAGCAATTCTAAAATGTTAAATTATCATTATTTTTTGTCATACTTATGTTTGTGGGTGCCTGCGTTTAATTTTCAATCGGCAACCTATATTAAAAATTCTATAAGTAGACAGTGCATTAGTTTAAATACAATTTAACGTTGAAATTTTGGATTTTCGTCAATGAGATATTCCACTTTTGAGTTTGGGTAGGGGCAGAGAAGTAGAGAATCATTTGCGTGGCGGTACAGCGAGCGGCGTATGAATTGTGTTCCACTACTGTCCCCTTACGCATTCTTAAAAGTTAAAAGTAGAACATATCTCGTCAAAAATAAATGTCAACATCATAATTTATTTGAATCAATATTCCTAATACTAAGCATATCATTCAATTATCACCACTCTGTATAGCAACCGATGAACCTACACCGAAGTTCCATAGTCATATTGTATAATAACATTATGTAGAGTACCAATATTAAAAACAGCCGTCGTTCATAATAACGTTTTGACGGGGAATAAAAAAATATCGACGGCAGGTATGTCAGGCGACCGATTAATATACAGGCGAGTACTTGAAAATTCGATCGATCTCGTAACATGTGATACACGATTTTTTTTTTTTTTTTTAATAATATAATGATGATTTATCGATTAAATCTGTTGTAGGTACCAATATAATAATATTAATATTATATGAGAAGGTCTCGGCAGAACAACTAATCAAATTACACGTCGTTATTATTATATATATATTTTTTTTTTTACTATGGCGAATTTGAATTTAATTATATTTCCCGTACAGCGGACCGTGAGCTACAGCATTTCAAACATCGTCTTTGGAATATTTTATAGATGCGGCAAAGTATATATAATCGGAACGAATGTAACCGGCATTGCCGGCATACGAATTTAAACGATCAGAGAAAAAATATCTACTTCGACTTACCTATCATGTTTTGTTCGTATCATCTGTACCCATACGTTTAATAATTATTCATTCGTACCAATATTATATTGTATGTATACTATACATAACGATAAATGAATCATCAACATCGTACCGAATTTCGCAAATTTATTTGTTCATACGTGCGTGTTTATTATTTCACTTAGAGTAGGATTTTTTATTAGGTAAACGGGACGATATTCTTTTTCGCGTTACACAGTAAATCAATAAAATAATATATGCGGCGGCGGTAAGCAATTATTGAGATTGCCGCAGAGATTATAATATATATATATATATATATATATATGGTACTGTATAGAAGATAAAAAAACGGAAACCAACTGCGAAGCCGATTGACATCAATAGTTATCAGAAAATTATACAGATGTATTACGATACATTAATCATAAATCAAATTTAAATTTTTTTCGCCCTTACTTCCTATACTATCAAACAAAAACTATGCATGTACGCCATGAAGATGTGTTTATTCTTCACGGTTTACACGCTTTTAAAATAGTAAAAATCGTCACTTGGTTTTTAAGTTCGTTTAAAGATTTATGTCAACGTTTATACGCAGTGATGTGTTCCGTCGAGATAAACTTGATATTTTATAATTTAATCTTGTGTAGATAAATGGGAAATAAGTCGGTCGGTATCTGAGATAAACGATGAAATCATCTAGATAGAACTTTTCAAACCGTAATTAATATAATATTATGTCTAACAAAAAGTATAAAATATGCAATTTGTATTGATGTTTTGTGTAAGTGTATTATTAGGTCGCATCGAACACACAACTTTTTTTGAAATCCACACATGTACTAACCACACACACACTTTTAGCACTTAGTTTTATGATAGGTATAATGACAAACAAAAATCATCTTTCTGTATCAACACAAAAAAAGTGTTAATATTATTTATCTTTATCCAGACAATGAAAATTGTTATGTTATCTTTGATCTTTTTTTTTTCCTTTTCCGGTTAACCGACGGCAGTGATGGATCTGTGTAAACATCGCTGCCCCACTGCTGCCGCGGCCGTCGTTTCTTATAGATAAATATACATAACAAAATATACAAGAAATGGAAAATAAGGGGTGAGAAACAACTCCCTGCTACACCCCCCTTACAATTCGGTTATAATATAATATAATGCGATTCGGACGATTCGGCCCGGATGTATGTCTTTGATTATGATAATATTACTCTAACAATTATGACCGTTTTAATCATCATCGAAACATTTCCAAATGTATTTTATTATAACCAACGCTGATTTTACGACCTAGGTTAACAATACAAATGAATCCTATACCGATATACAATAACAATTACGAAGGTACACGTGGATATTTAGAAGAAAAAAAAACCACGGGTATTCATTTGTTTTAACACGCCGTGTATAATAAAACGTTAGATAAAAATCGTAATGTGAAATAACAATCGTACAAATTCGCTGTCATATCGTTTATTAGTGTGATAAAACGACGTTGAAAACAAAAAAAATTTAAATCTTCACACTTAAAACCGTTTTATTAATCGTCGAAATAAAAAGAAAAACATGTGATGTATAATAAAATACGGTTTTCACTTTCTTTTCCGGGCAATATTATTGTTGTTCAACGAAATTGAAGGTGAATCGTACAATTTTCCGTTCGATTGGAATTTTTAAACCGTTTATTTCAATAAAATACTATATTAATACCGCTACGACGAAGTACATGTCTAATAATAGCGTTACACATATACATATTTTTTTTTTTAATGACAGCTCGGTTTACAGGTAATGCCGTAAACCCAATTGCATAATGAAATTCAATAATACAATATTAGGTATATTGTATTAATTTGAGAACCGCGATGCGGTGTAGTGTGACAAGCGACAGCGGTGTTTACGTACCTACAGGTAAGCGCACATAGAAAGCGACTTGGGGGCACCGTTACTCAATGATCCATCCGAAGCATAGATCACGTACCTACGTACATAATACGAAACCCGTTATAGGAATACGTCCGTTTGATCTTATCCACACGTTACATTAGATATTATTATTATTATTATATTTTACTATACGGCCGCCACACATATTGACCCTGTTATTGTTATTAATGAACGTCGGACGACGACGGCGGACACCGCGGCGGTGATTTTGCAATAATATTTGTTTATAATAGCATACACACACATTAATATTATACACGGGTACAAATACGCCCAAGTATATTATTTTGCCATTCGATCGACACGGAGACAATACCTGCATAATATATAAATAATAAATAATATATAATCTAAACGTATATAGTATTATTAAACTGTTATAGATGTGTATACAGTAAGACGTGGTAAAACAGTAGAAATAGACTATTGGTTTATTTTGTTGTAGATTTTGAGCGTGCCGCGAGGAATGTCTTGGTGACACGACTATGACGTGCATGTTTTTTTTTTTTTTTTGTACGTCTGTAAACAAATTTTCTACCGGAAACATGGAAAAGAGTAGAATTTATTTCTAAAAGAAAATTTTATCTTGCTGTTGTGTAAGAAAGTCGGTTTTGATTTCCCATGTTTTTTTTTTTTTTTTTTTTTTTTTTTTTTTTTTTTTTTTTTTTTTTAATTTTCGTCTGCCTACATTTTTTCAGATTCTATAAAAACTTTGGTCCATCCATATTAAAGACTCTGTAACATTCAAAGCATTCCGCAGAATCGGTTTGTTTTACTAAGATGCGTGTGGTTTTTTACGATTTTTGGGTTAGAAAAATGTTTCGATTTTTTCACGCTGAACCTTAAAATATGCGGATTTTTTACAGGTACTATTTATTTGATGAGAATTTTTTGATTACCAACAGTTTTTCAATTAAATTAAAATAAAAAATACTGACATACTTCGTAAGTGGGTGCAGACACTGTTTTAGTTGAGAAGTTGGGAAAGTAGGATACAGAAGTAAATTTAATATATATCTGAAAGCAACGAGAAACCATTGATTACGAAAAAACAATTCTGAGTGGAGTTCAGTTGATAGTGATGCTTTGTCAACAATATATATATATATATCACATTATGGTAAAATATTAAATAATTAAATAAGCATTATATATTTTCTTTAATAATATTTGTTTAATATTGTACCGATTTTCGAGTATTCCCTACGTTTTTCTCGGTTTTCTCATGTTATTTTCCGGTTTTTCACATTTTCTGAGAAAAATCTTTGGAAAATCAAAAAATACCTCCGTAAAGTACCATCCCAAGAAAATTTCCTTCCAGAAAAGAGTTACATCGTAACATCGGAATAAGATTTCTGGTAGAATTTTAGCACACAGTATAAAAAAATAAAAAAACATCTTTGTAAAACCAATACATTCTTTGCTACACTTGAGTCTAAAAGTTTTAAAATTCTTAAATATACAACAAATTTCGATACATCAGTTTTATTTTTATTTTTATTTGTTTTGATATAGATTATTGATGAGGGGTAGGGCTCTGCCTATTAATTGTGTATAATAGGATAGGAGTGAATTGGGAGTAGAAACAAATGTATCTTACATAAAGTTATTTTGAAATGTAGGTCTAACCCCCTTCCCTTACCTACATCTCTGTATATGCTAATACTTCTCGTTTCAGAACCATTTTCTGATTACAATGATGTATCTATGTTTTTAGTGCATAAACTAAATTACCCTATATCTATCAAACTAAAGATAAATAATTAAATCTTCTAGATAAATCTTTTAAAACGTAATAACATAGTATTAAATTTTTTTTTGGAAGAATAGGCAAGATATTTAATTTATAATAGTCAATTTTCTTCTTCTGAAACTTTGAACTGTTATATTCATCCTAAAATATTTTTAAATTCTAGAAGTTTACCATATCTGGTACACGCAGGTACATTTTGAACACTTCGGTAAATACCTATAAAGATGGGTATTTCATTTAACTTTATCTAAATTCTAAATGATTAAATCGTTATGTTTTATCATAATATTCTATCTACATATCGATTATCTTTTATCTTTATCTAGATATTTAAAAAAGTCTTTAAACAATGTGCGTATACGTATAAAACCTATATAAGAAAGCAAAAATAAAACTGTTTTTCTATTATTTCCTTTTTTTCAAATATTTTTATATTTCTAACCTAAACCGAGTTAATGTTTATATTGGAAGTTGGTACCTACATTCATATTATTATGTACGGTTGAAATATCTTATTGATCATGGGCATTAATAACTAAAATCTTTCTCTAAGTAATACCTATGATTATTTTAACGAAGTTTTCTTTTGAACGGGTAGAAGGTAATAGCAAAACGGTACCTATGAAAATCTTTGAAAATTCGTGAACAACCGACGATTGCCAATCAGAAATTCCAAGCCATATTTGATTTCTTCACTTTTTACTAACCATCGATGATTGCAATAAAAAACAAAAAAACCGAAAAACTATTTGTTAACTATTCAATAATGGTTAAAAATTAAAATATCCACGGTTTTTTTTTTCCTAAAACGCAATTGTGTATATTATTTCAATTAACCGGTTGGAAAATGTTTTTAAAAAAATATTTTCATACGAAAAAATAAACCGAATCTGGACGATTTTTGGTTATTTGTATTATTTTTTTATCGTATATATTCAATTTGTCTGCATTTTAACTATAAACGCCGTAGAATCGAATATTGCTTCAATTTTTTTCAAAAATAAATCATACTAATAATAATATAAAATAATACGGTTGTTTTATCATTTTTACCATATATAAACGTGGTGATAAAATCAGTTGACCGCGCGGATTGTTTTAGCTGTATGCACGAGAAATTTAATAATATTCTATGTACCAACGAAAGCGCTGCAGTGGGAACCTATATTATGATATTTCGATTAACATTTTCATTTATCTTTGCATTAAGGTGCCGTCGAGGTGGTTTTTAATATTAAATAACTTATACGATTTTCAAACACTATATATTCTTATAATCCAACTGCGGTATTAAATTCAAAATGGTTAAAATGTAAGTAGGTACCTATATAATATAACCTACTTATACGAAAACAATACCAATATAAAGGCAGGAACGAAGCAAGGACCATCGATTTTAATGAAAAGTAGGCATTTTTTCCATAACAAATTTAAAATCTGCCATATGATTTCTTCGAGAAAGAAGGGCTGAAGTAAATTGTATACATTTTTTTATTTTTTATTTTTTTTTTGTAATTTTTTTTCCTTTATTTATTAGCCTAAAGAGCATAAGTGTTTGTATATCTTAACACGTCAGGTTATATCACAAATTAAAATATCATAAATCATTACGGTGTACTGTTGATTTGGTAAAAAGACATAAGTGCCAAAATTCATTATATAATAATACATCCAAGCTATATTATGTGGTCATTTAGGTTAGGCTATTGAATAATTTTCAAATTTCCATTCGCTTATATTGAAAACTGTATAAAATTAATTCAATTCACACGACTGCCATAAAACCATGAAGTATACGTATACAAATGACAGACACGGATTAAGAGAGGCAGAGGCCACGTCCCCGCGGCCCACAAAGACTATTTTATGCATATTATACTAATATATTATTGCTTTTATTGACTTATACTATGAATGGAACCAAATATTTTAGAACCTTTTTATTTTTTTGTTCATTAGTTAGATTTAAACACACAGCATTTTGTTTCAAGAGTATACAATTTAAGCGATGACCATTTGTTTGCTTATTTGTCCCATTTTAATAGATTAGGGCCCCTTACTAATATCGATCCCAGGCCCCCGTAATCTTTAATCCGGGCGTACTTAAATGAAACATTTGAGATTAGATGATAATTCCATTTGTCTCCCTGTATACCATAAAAAATATAATGCATTATTATTAATGTAACATATTATTAATACAAAACATTATTATAAAACATATTATTAATCGTACCCATCAATTGATGGTAAATCTCGATTGAAGACGTCAGATTAGAGCGATACCAACGAAAAATTCGACCACATTCCACGCAGACAAGAAATTTGAAAAAATGATACGTTATAATAAATCGTGGATTTCTTTTTCAAATTTGTCACCCTCACAGAAATATGTCGGACAATTTAATTACGCCGTTCAACGGGTTTCCAACAATGTAATACCTGAAAGTATATTATATTCAGTCATTAAAAATAAAAATAAAAACCGTACCATTCTATGATTTTAGTCTCAGTGTTGTGTTTTATCTAGATACATTTTCTATGACATATCTAAATAGATGACAAACAAATTATTTAAGATAAATAATTGAATCGTTTAGATACATCTTTTTGAATACATAATTTATGTACATATTAGAAATAAATAGGTAAAACATCTAAATTATATTATTATAGTTTAATGCATTAATAATTATTATTCCGTTTCTTTAATCATACAACATTTTTAAAATCGATATGTGTAACAAAAAGTCTGGTACACTTTACTACTTTTAGCAGTTTTTTTTGTGATAGGTACCTATATAGTGAACAAAATTATCATTTTAAAAAGTCACCGATTATTTATCTTCATCTAGATAATCGAATTGCTGAATGAAGAAAAGGCACATGTTTAAATTTTAATATTTGCCAAGAAAGTCAAAAATTATCTATAACTTTGAAAAAAGTGTTTGTAAAAATGTCACCTTACCTAACCAACATAATGTGTTAGGTATCATCTATTAGAAGCGCTTATCGTTATTTGAAATATTATAAAATTCTAGGTGTCTGAGGAGTTTTCGGTCTTTCTTGAACAATTTTAAAAATTAAACACGGCGTGCCATTTCTGCATTTGATAACTGCTAGAATAATTATTATTATAAGAATTAAGTTCCTATTTTCATCTAGATACTTTAACATTCTGTCTTTATACAACACTGCAGCTTAGTTCTAGGCTCATCTCTATTTAGCGGGGTACGAAACGATTTTATTTTTCCGACCGTGACCCGCGATCAACGTCTTCACCGCGTCACCGTGAATCTCAAGAGAAAAGGATAATATTGTAAAAAAAAATCCTTTTCGGAACCGACGACGTATGCATTTTATTTTATTATTATTTTATTTTTTTGTACCATAATATGACCGATTCTTGTAGGAAAATAATCGGATTATCTATCAGTGTTACGGGGAGGCGGGCAATTTCCAAAACGATAAATACGAGTCTGCAGTGTACTTATACGAGTATACACACTAAGTAAGTAAAAAAAGGACCTTAAATAAGGTAACGGTACCGACCTATGCGGATCATAATAACATTATACGACACGGTTATTTCTATTGGTATCTATATTTCACTTGAAGTCTTATTTTTTATTTTTTCCTACCTATCGTCTGTAAACAGTCGTTCCGTCGAAAAATCGTTCGACCATGTACATAAATATTGCGGTGTTATTATTTGGATATCGGACGAACAAAAAATTGAAATCCCCGCCCACTCCATTTTTTTACCGACCGCCTATCTGATGATAACGATAATAATTGCGTCGACTTTGCCGATCGGAATATATTATACATAATCGTTATCCTGAATTCGATTTTGCTTTGATAATAATATACCTACCACCCACCTATCTATATATTACGGGAATACGATTTTCTATACGGTTTAAACCCCCTCTCCCCTCACCCAGCATTAGGAACTCATGTCCGTTTACAAATAATCCCGGAAGAGCAGTTGCGGAGGTCCGGCAGTTTATTTTTATTACCCGTCTAATACACCCGCCTACACCTAACCCGACCGCTTGACGGAAAAATCGGATATTATTATTTTAGTAGCGAAATTTGTTTACTGTAACGGCATGCGAGAGATTATCGGCGGTTCAAAATTATATAGTCCCTTTTCGAATAATTAAAACGTGAGGGAAGAGGAGTAAACGTTTATAAACTCCCGATGTGTCTATAGGTTTCTGCACGTATTATACAAAACCTTGATGATTTTTTGTAGAAAACTTAAGCGAGCCAGGGCACGAGACGAACGATAATTTTAATTTTGATAACGAAATCGAAAAATAATAATAAAAAACTCCGAAATTGACAGTTTTAGTGCTATCGCACTGTGTTGGCCAGTGCACCCTGTATGTATAACATAGATAGATACAGGATGCAGCTATAGTCGTTATGAACTTACCTGCTGGAGTCATCGTCGCCGATGGCCATTCCGCAGTCTTGCAGAACGGATGACGCGATGACGATAACGATGATGATGATGATAATATGACGACGATGACGAGCACTAGCATATCACGGACGACACGATCGCGGGACGATTGTTATTGTTTCCGGTGGGCTCGTCATTTCCGGGGGTGACGCTCTACGACGAAACCGTTTTCCCGGCGGACCGCGCAGCACGCACGACGAATGTTGCGAAAACGAGACCGCGATTTTTGTTTATTATTTTTATTTTTTTCCACGACGACCGGACGAACCACGCGGTTACGGTACGCACGCGAACGGTGCCGACAGACGACTGCGGTCCGTCTGTCGGTCGCCGGAGCTTGTTGCGTAGGTAACCGCACTAGATAACTCGTCTTATCCCGGAGCACGTGTACCGCCGTCGGTCCGGGGGCAGGCCAAGCGTCGCGTAATCCGTTTTCCCGCCAATCGAACGGCGCGGATTTCGTCCGTTGAGCGCCGCCAATCTGCCGCCGAAATCCGACGGAACATTCTCGCCGAGTTTTTAAACGACAAATAGATAACAGTTGTTTGTGCATTAGGGAGCAGATTTCAATGCAAATTGCATTTTTTTTTTTTTTCTGAATGCCCTAAAACGATATTTTCCAAGCACAAAATTCGTTTCATACATCAAAGAGTTCAAAAATGAAACTTTCTTTTTGGCAGTTTTTTGCTTGTTTAGAACTTTTTTTTTTTTCATTTTTAGATATTTCAAGTGCATTTTTTGTAAAGGCAAAAGCAACTGATCGGGATGGATGGAAGACTGGCTGTATAATGGGATGGTCCTAAAGGCCGATAATAACCCAAATTAAAAAAAAAGTGAATTTTTAGATTTTTCAAGAATTTTTTTTTCTTATTTTTACATACTTCACAGTGCTACCAATTAATTTGATAAAATTTATTTTTATTTCTTCCTAAAAGAAAAAAAAACACATATTGTAATTGTACCAGATAAATACGAGGTAAGATGATAATATAGAAAATGGCAATACAGAAAACGATAAGTTATTTATATATTAATAATGTCATCTTATTGCACTGCTGTGTTTAGTGTTTAGTATTGTTATAATTTTCAGGGTAGAAATAGAAGAAGAAGAAGAATATGTATTAAAATAATACAAATTTTTTTTTTAAAATAACTTTTAGGACATTTTTTTAAATGCATTTTTCTTGTTTTTTAAAACATTTGAATCCACTCCCTACTGATTATGTACTGCTTACTGTGGTGTGACTTGACTGTCATAGGTGCTCAGTCGGGAGTTGTAGGACAATATTATGTAGGCACAGGGTAATTTCATTTATACACGATGTATCGTCGCGGACGAAAACCCAATTTTGAGCGAAAAGTTCAGGTAAACGTGTTGCAATAAACAATATTACCTATATTATAAACTACGAAAAATTCTTATTAATTTAAAACAATATAAAATATGTTGAAATTGTCCGCGTTTATTTCATCTCAGTGTTTCCTTTTTTTGAAGTCAATACAATTTGAATGCATATTTTAATCATTTTCAGTGAAATATAATTTCTGTTTTCCGGTTTTTTCTCCTTTATTATAGAAAAAGTAAAAGGGATCCTTTTGCAGTGACTAAATCCAAAATTGTACACGAATGATTTAACTCAGCAAGGGTAGAATAAAATCACAAACCATGGAAAAACCACAGAAATTTAAATAGCTAGGGTTTTAGATTCCAAAGCTTAGAAACTAAACATTTTGATTTTTTGAACGATTTTTTTTTGTTTTAGATTAATTCGTTAAATATAATATCATATATTAGTTAAAGTTTATTTAGATTGTCAATATGAAAGACCGCTAGAGGCAATTAAATTAAACTACTTCAAGATAAATTCTGTTATTGTGTATTATATCCTTAAAGTAGGACTTCATGGCTTCCAGACGTCACTTTGTTTTTCCGAGATCCCTTCCCTCCCCGATCCACTACTGTCATCAATTACGAATTTTGCTCGTCTCTAAATTTCCAGGATCTCCGTGAAACTTTGCTCGGACACTTCGACCGGGGAACGTAATAAATGTGTTACAGCCTTACAGAGTGTCCAATGTCCATAATCGTGTAATCGTGAGATAAGACGTGTACCAACGATGAATACACAAATGATAATACGTCCCATTATGGTATTAGTGTATTACGTTTCATAATTATATATTGTATACGATACAGAGTATGTATAACCTACAGAGTGCTCATTTTTATGTGGGGCATTAAATATATCGGCATTTTTAAAATGGTGAAATGGCGGAGAAGTGGCATGGTATCATTTTAGAAAAAATCGTTTTGCACAAGCACGCACCGAAAGGGTTAAACAATTTAATTTTAACTTGAAATGTGAATTTCAGTACAATCTAGTCATCCATATGACCTATCGAAAACACAATTTTAACCCATGATCATCCACCGAAATATTTAACTGTACCTTTAAAAAAATGAACAATGATCACATTGTAATATTTATGTATTGATTACAATAATATTATAATATTATAATTGAACGCAGGTACGTAAATACAATATTATACTGTGTAAGTAGGTGCACATGATTGTCAAACCGTTTTAATTGCCCATACTTGAATAATAATTGCACCGCAATCGATCGAAAAAAATATTATTATTTTGTCACTTATACATGACCAAGTGTTTATCTGCACCAGGGCAGGGTACATGGGGAGAATATGATGGTTAAAATTCCATGATCGCAATTTTTGTATCCCTTCGTGTGCCTAGATGTATTACGAATAAAATATATAATTCAATGTTAAATTTAATTAAAACCACATGTTTTTCAATATAACAGACCATAATGTTATATTATATGTCTATAGTATTGTGCTTTTATTTTGATTAAAAAAATTCATTAAAAATAAAAACGTATAGGATGTTATTGTTAAAAAAAAAAAAAAATACACTGAGTATACAACATAATGTCTCGTATCGAACCATTGAATAAATCTATTAAGATATTGATGAACTATGTATCAATATTCTGAATATATTATTGGGGCCAGAAAAATTAAATTTACAAAAAATTAGTATACAAAAATATGTTATCAAAAATTGTGACCACGTCAAATACAATATGGATAAATAAAAAATTTAAATTAGCTATAATAATACCTCAAAACGCGCAAGAATATGTTTTCAAAATTACAGTATCTAATAAAAATGGTAGTATAAGAATTTGGTACAAATTTCAAGACACTACTATATTATTTTTCATTGAATAACAAAAAAAAGAATGAATATTGCACATGGGTGCAGCTACTGTTGTAGGTGGGAAACTGGGGAAGTAGGATACAGGCAAGAATTTGATGTATATCTGTAAGCAACGATAAACCATTGCTCATGAAAAAACGATTCTGAACGGAGTTTAGAACAATATATATATATATGTCATATTATGGTAAAATGATTACGACAATGTGCGTTTCCGTGAAAACAATGATTGTTTAAAAAATATTAAAATAACAAAAACTTAATAACAAAAAATAAATAAAAATGGTTGCCAATGACAGCCTTATTTTTAATCTTTCAATCTTTTTTAATCTAAAGAACCAGGTTTTCCTTATTATCTCGAATATTAATGAGAATTTCAAAAAAAAATACTCCTTTTAAGTACCACCCAGAAAACATTTCCATTCAGAAAAGGTGCTTTAATTGATAATCAGAGTAAGCTTTTTGGTAGAAAAAGTGCTCACTTAAAAAAAAAAAAACGTCTTTGTAAAACCAATAGATTTTTTGTTTAACTCAGAATATAAAAATCGTTTTAACCAGACATCGTTTTTACGTAAATATTTTTCGTTTTTCCAATTCTTCCCTATTATTAAGATATAATATACAAGGAAACATAAAAAATTGATCACTTAAACACACCACTCATCATATTATCATGTAGAAAACATTTTCCAGGTACCAGAAACCAGATGATTGGACTGTCTTCCAAGTTCTAACCGAAAACGTATACATAAAAATAAGCACATCGCCCTGAAACGAAGATATTACTATACGTGTATCGCTTCGCAAAGAATCTAAACGTGTACCTGTACGTGTATGTTATATCGGATTGTATTTTGCGAAATTCGAAACGTGTATTATCGTTTATCACTAGTGATTTATGTTATGTGCGTCTGTCTCGCCAACAATCTGTAAAATATTGCTTACAAATTCACTGATAATAATAATATTATGTGCCTGTACTCGCATTTCATTATTTGAAATAATAAATACATTCAACGTCAACGGCTGTTTTTTTTTTTTAAATAAACATTCCAAAACGTGGTTTACAGTTCGATAATAACCGGAATAACATAACTGACCGACTGAGTTAAATATATTTTATTAATAAACAGCAGCCTGCTTTAGTTACTCCGAACGAAATATTTAATTGGACGTTTTGCTGAGAAATCTATTTTTAATGTACCAAAGAAGACGAACGTCAACGTCGTATCAGTCGTGTCACAAACAATATTTTCGTCGGTACATATATGTTTTTAATAATAATTATCGGATGTTTACTGTGCTGTAAAAAGCGAAATGTGAAATGCCATTTTTTTTTTCATTCGCCACAAACTCAAACCTGTCGCGCTGGCGGATTTTTATCCTAAAGATAATATTGATGTTCGGTGTTTATATAGAGAGAGAGAGAGTATATATATATATATATATATCAGAGCGTGATTTTACATATGTTATTCCATCTTACGGTCGAATAAACACAGATAAAAATAGTATACGAGACGAATCTCGGTGTGAATGTTTAAGAGATGATAACATCGCCTCGTAAAGTAAACGCAAATTAACATATCAATCGAATGTTTCTTTAAATATTAGTATCGTTATCGTATCGGTTTGACCAGTCGATCACTGGTAATTGGTATATATGTGCATATGAATTCAAGTTCAATCTACAGTTGTTAACAGTATACCTATTTAAAATAATTTAAAAATTCGCCAATTGACAAAACCGAATAACATTTGTTGAGCAATACAAAATTAAGTACCAATATAAAAATCTGTTAAAGTATGCATAATTTTTCGACAGTAATTTCTTACAGTACTTAAACTGAAAACAAAAATACAAACAGTTTACCTACTACTATTATTATAAGTGGATAGGACTTAACTAAATGCTTGTTGCTGTACCAATTTGTACAAATATCATTTTTAAAAAGAAAGTGTCTTATTATATAATCATTATTATTAATGGAAAATCAAATATTATATCTACTGACTATTCTAATATTTTAAGCTTTAAAATGTCTAAAATTGTATATTAAACGGATCGCAAAACTACTGTTGCCATATTCGAAATTTACTATGCTTAAAGCACATAGTAGTAGATTCGGTTTTTTGATTTTCATTTTTAATATTCCTTTATTTCGCATGAACATGAAGCGATGGGCGAGTAGATATGGCAGACGAAACAGTTGATCATTTTAGGATTGCAATATCTATAATTTGTGTTAAATTCAAAAACCCTGCATACATCAGTTTTTAAAAAACTTTATCCAGTCCTTTTATAGA